GGTCTTGAGCGTGTACACTGGCCACCCAGAAATCTGGAAGACACAGACCACAAGAAAGACTAGAGAAAACTTAAGACGAACGGTAAAAGACGAGGAAGGCCAGAGAAATTTTAACATCAACATAATAAATAATAAGGAAAACGTAGAAAGTAGCGAGGAAGACCAAAACCATTTTTGAAAACTAAAAGATCTATATGGGAACACCGCAATAATCATGGGAAGATTAAGAAATTCGTGGGTAGACCGTTTGGGACCCATAAGAAGCCTTGAAAAACTGAGAGATACGCATGGTTGAAGCGCACGGATACCCTTTTCATGTCCTCTAAACTTTTGTGCTAGAAAATTTGCATAATAACTACAACTACAAGACTAAGTTGTGTGCTGCTGTATATTATGAAATTCTTTGATTACGTAACATTTCCCAATTATTAAAAAAACAGTACAAGAAAAATGTTAAGTAGTTCCAGAAAAAAGTTTAGTCACTGTAAAACAAAGTAGTTAGGTTTACAGGAAAATTTTCCTTGACACAAGTTGTAAAATTACGATTTGTAATCGTAAAAATATATGCAGTATGTATCGACTTCAAATCCCTTGGCGAGTAAAAAATGTGCTACAACTTAAATTATAATTCGAGTGTACAAAATTTTTGTAAATTTACGACGGTATTTTTCACAGTGTAATACAAAAGAATTTCTTTAAAATTTACAGCAGCACAAAACTTAAGAAGTTACTCAGCAAATTTTCCAGTAAAAAGTTAAGAGTACGAGGATACTTTGGAAAGTTTTCGAAAACGCTTCAAATACAGCATTGAAATTGCAATTTTAGTATTGTTTTTATGCACTATTCTTACGCGTTTCGTTACACTACGACGCCCTACCCAGCACTCGGCTGAGCTGCTGTGAGAGTACGTCGCGCGCGGCGCACCGGGGGATGGGCGGCGCGCTGTCCTACACGACGCGGCGCGGGAGCGCAGCACGGGCGAAGCTGCGGAGCTTTGAACAGCTTGAGAGGGCTGACCAACTTTCGCATGCGAGGCGGCCTGGCCTGGGCGCCGCTCTGGCGCTGGCCGCCGCTGCTGCCCGGCGCTCTGGGCTCTGGCCGCGCGGTGCCGGTGCGGAGGTGTGTGAGTGTGTGAGTGTGCGGACGGGACGAGACGGGTGGCTGAAGGGCCTATTGTTAGGCGGCCGCTCTCCCCACCGCACGGTTGGCCCTTCAGTATGGATCGCGCGGTGCACAGACAACTGTCCAAAATGTATCCGCACTGCAAAATGCAGGCGAACAGTTACCATGAACAACATTTTCACAGTTCAAAGAAAGAAAATTCTTAACAGCATTTGCATACAAAATTTAGTTCGTTAGGCGCTGAGAATAAGTGGAATTCTGTAGCAGCCGTGACAGGGTTAAGGGCAAGCAACTATAAAATTACGAATGAGACAATCTCCCAGGGAACTGAGCAGAAATGTAGTTACGAGAAATTTAGTTACGCCTATTTGAAGGTTGGACCAACCACATGCATTTCACATCGTTGTTCCTCGGGTTATGTTAGCTTCCCGTTTTCTGAGTGAAATTAACTAAAATTGAGTAATAAACTGGATGTTTCCGTGTTTGAAGGTGCTGCTGAACCAGCCGCAGTCAAGTTTCGGCCAACAACAGCAGTCCGGCTTCGGCCAACAGCAGCAGTCCAGCTTCGGCCAGCCGCTGCTCCCCTTCTCGCTGCCACACAACGCGCCGCAGCCACCCCAGCGGCCCGCCCCACCGCCGCCGCCGCCGCCCCCAGCCTCGCTGCCCCTGCCCAAGCTGCCCGCGCCTTCGCCATCCCCCGCCCAGTCCGACCAGAAGGAAGAGGTGAGTTTGAAAGGAAAACAGAACGCGTCAACGTTTTTGGGAACACATTGGCCCGAGAAATTTCCTTTTTTGGCAAATCATTAATTAAAGATGAATTGCGATCTAATTTATAAGATACACGTTTATCACTGTAAAATCGTTGCAGACGTTTGTGGCTACTTTCTAATTGCTGGCAGTCGGCAGTGTTGCTTGCTCGCGTTTTCCGGTCGTTTTTGTGTATGACGTATCGCGAAGTATACGACGGGCGACAAGACAGTTGTATAGCTTACACTACGCAAATCAGTAACACCTAGAACATATTTTCAAGGGGTCTCCCACTCATGTCAGCTGTGTACGGAGTATTATGGTATTATGGCCGATTATGGCACTTATTTAGGCATATTCTCACATATTATGTAATATAATGAAGTATTATAGACTATTATGGGGTATTATGAGGTATTAAGTGGGTATTTTGGGGTATTATGTCCAATATTATGGGG